AGAGAGAGAGAGAGAGAGAGAGAGAGAGAGAGAGAGAGAGTTCTTCTTCTTCCTCTTCTAAGTCCACCATCTCTCCCTCGCCCTCTCGCTACCTAACTTCTCAGTATCTGCAGACTACGAGAGAGAGAGGGATTGGTGACATTTGGATCCAGACTCGACATTGGGCTTCAGACATTTGACAAGGGATTATCTGGGACTTGTACCGAAGACTTGGTGTTGACGACATTACCATCTTCCCCCTCTTCCTTGTCTGATCCCCTCCTCTTCGTCTGTGTATGGTCTGGACCTGGCGCATTCTTCCTGTGTGTAGCGCCAGGCCCCTTCACACCCTGGGATGAGGATGATGTATGTTTGGTCTGCATTGCGACACTGATTGGGCTAGTCATTGGTATTCTAGCATTCCGCTGCGCTGTCTTGTACTATGTGAGAGAGGTCAGTCCCGGTCAGGTCAGGGTTTATATCTAAGTTTTCCGCTGCGCTACAAGGAGCCATTTTGTATGTATCAGGATGTACATTGCATGTAGAGATTCCACTAGCACTGCATTGTCCATTCAGTCCTTTTTATCACATTGTGGATCCTTGGCTATATATGTACATCGCCCAACTGGGCATGTAACAGTTGGTATCGGAACACCGCACGTGAATCAGGACAACCTGATTCGACACGTGTGCACGGACTGAAGTAGTTAATTAGTTTTGTCAATTGATTGATTAGAGCATACTAATTAGCCCCCAAAATCACGATTCTGACCTCACTGCCGAAAATCGAATCTTTTTTTCTTTTCTTGGATTTTGTTTTCCCGCTATTTCTGTTGCGAAAAATCGCAATTTCCCGTTATTTGGAAATCCGGAATATTTTTTTTCCGAAATTCGTTTTTCTTGAAAACGGTATGGGAAATCCCTCTTGCAGTTACCATTTTCCAAACTGGACGTACTCTCATCTGAGTAATTCCGATTTTTTTTAATTTTCTTTTCGGAATTCTTTTATTCGCAGTTCTATTTGCAAGGAAAATGAACAGAAGCGAGATGACAATGTTCAGATTGCACAATCACATTGAAAGCCAAATCTTAACACATTGCACCAATATAACACCAATGGAGAATCGTAGCACTGAAAGTCAATGTCAATGACAGCTTGCTCTCGCCACCACCAACATATGTATCCGGTCTCTATCTCCCTACTTGGCGCTCGGCGGCCAGCCTACTCCCTACACAGCTACTACTAGCCTACTAATTGACAATGGAATTGTTGACGTCAGCAGCCTCCGAAGTACTTGAAGATGTCGCCCATGCAGACCATCGCCAATACCAGGTATGTGCGCTCACATCATCATCATCATCATCCTTCTCTCTCACTCTCTCTTGTCTCTCTCCCATGTCTTCCCTTTGTACACCCGAAGACCACCCCTGCGCCTCACTGTACATCCAAGCCCTGCCAGCTATGGAGGCTGGGCTATGGCGCTGCCCTCAGCAGCACCCTGCTCTTTGCACGACCGCACGTGCCTGCACCTCGCCGCTCAGCGCTAGCAGCAGCCCACGAGCTTCAGCTCCACCAGCGCTGCCGCCAGCATGCGAGTGCCCGAATGCCTGGCCAGGCAGCGAGCTCTTTCCTATATGGAAAGAGCCTGCCTCATTCGGCAGCCTGGCTGGACTGGCCGGGGCCCAGAAGCTTCCGGTAGGCCCCAGGATGCTGCGCCTCTGGTGCAGCTATTGGGCCTCATTCGGTTGGGCCTCCCAACTATCTGTGAATGAGGCTGTGAATCTCGCCCAGGGCCTGTGCTTTCAGAAAGGCCTGGAAGGCCTGGGAATTTCCACGCTGCTCGGCCTGTGTTTTCCTTCAACCAAGTGGCGCGATGAAACTGCCTGGACCCCAAATACAAAATTGACAGCTTAGGGCCTCTGGCGTTTTGTTAGGCCCGCCTTCACTTAGGCCGGGCACATTTCCTGCAGGGGGCCCCTTAGGCCTGTCGAGGACCCATATCCTCGCATATGATTTTCACTATCTGATAATCATTTGCAGTCTGAAAGTTCGATTTTTTTTTCTCATTGGTAATTTCGCACTTCAAGGGAGATTGGGAGACCTACTGAACTTGCAAAACTCGGGATTTTTATTAATTTCTCGATTTTTTTTTCTCTGCAAAAAACTTTCCTTTTTTGATTAGTGGCTCCTTATCTGGACGATTTATTCTACCCACCCTCCCCACCTATGTTGTTGCCCCCTCTGGTCTTCTCTATCTGTCTCCGGGTACCCCCTGCGGCGGCATTGGTGAGTTGCCACGTCAGCAGGCCTCATCAGCAGACCACGTCAGCAGGCCACATTAGCAGCCCACGTCAGCAGCCCAAGTCAGCAGGACACGTCAGCCGACAGTCGTGCGACATCAGCAGTCGACCAGTGCCACGTCAGCAGCAGGGAGTGCCACGTCAGCCGTCCTCCGGCCTGGTCTATGCTCACGCGCTTACAAACAGCTGACATGGATCAGAAGTCCGGCCTATCAGGCCCGGATACTGGCTTTGATTACGGAAGCCAAGAAACGGGCGGATGAGGTAACAGCCGCAGAGAAGAAGAAGACAGAGGACGCCGAGAAGGCACGTCTGTTGGCAATCGAACAGCAGCGCCAACAAGACGAGGCAGCAGCAAAGGCTGTCGATGAAGAATGAATTTAACGACGCGAGAAGATATTCAACAGAGAGCGAGCCTTGTTTACAATGGCAGCGGACTGGCGGGCCAAGGCCGAGAATGGTAAGRTGGAAGAGAGTGAAAGCAAGATCGCTCTACTCCTCTTCCATTTCACGGACCTCCTGGCAACGTGCATTGCACAGCAGGGGGACATCCACAGCCTCGACGACGCAGTTCAGACGCACAACCAGGCGTTTGATCAAGTCAACAGCCGCCTCCAGCAGCTGGAGCAACGACTCGTCGCCACCCCTGATGCCAGCTCCTCCAACACCTCCGATCGCCTCAATGCATTGGAGATCGACGTCGGAAGCCTCAAGGACGGCACGAAGCTACAGCAAACCGCCACGAAACAACTGGAGCAGCGGATCTGTGCTGCCGCCGCCACACCGAGTTCGGCACTGCGCGAGATGACTCCAAAGTTCGATGGTCAGGAGATCTTCTGCGATTCGACGAAGACGGACCCGATTCCGTGGTTCCACAAGTTCGAGCTCAAGTTGAAGCTACACCACGTCAGCAAGGACAAGCATCATGCGTTATACTCCCGGTCGGGGGGCGTGTGCCAAGCATGGTTGGACAATCTCTTGTCCAAGTACGGGGGGGTACCTGCCGACTTGTACACCAAGATCAGCTGAGATGATCTAAAGGCCGCGTGGCATAAGTGGTTCCATGTAGAGCCGCCGGAGATCAAGGCAATGGACAAATTGATGACCTTCGAACACGGCACGCTGCCGAGTGTTGACTGGATTACCGAGTACCAACGCTTGACATCCGTCCCAGACATTCAGATGGGCTTCAAGGCCGTCAAACACTGCTTCATCTCGAGGTCGTGTTCGACGTTGGGCAACGCCTTGACTCACGTCGAGGACACCCTGGCGATAACGGCAGAGCTCTTCGACAATGCCGCGCAGATCATTGTCACGAACAAGGAGGCTACGAACCTCAACCGTTCGTCTGTGACAGGCCCGAGCAGAGATCAGCATCGGCCGAAAGTGGATGTGGTTGTGGCGGCAACGCCAGCCGACCCTTCTAGCGAGGCCATGTCTGCCAATGAAGGGGACAGACTCGCAGCCGCCCAGGATGGTGGCTGCCCCGACAAAGGTCGAGGACGCGGCAAGATGAAGACAAACACCCCATCTATCCCCGGGCCCGGCACAGCAGCTCCAGCCCCATGGTCCCACTACGGTCTCTCCGAATGTGCGTACAAGCTACGCACGAGATTCCACTATTGTCTGTGGTGTAACAGCGATCTCCACGACACTGTGGGCTGCCCGTCGAAAGGCAAAGGCAAATCGGGAAACTGAGCACCGCCGGGAGTGAATCGACGACACTCTCGACGCCTTCGGAACCGGTCGCTTCGCGGGTGACCGCCCTTCGTTCTGAGGCACATGCGGAAGTCGATAGTCCTCCTCTTCTATGTTCTTATGAGGACTATGCTGCCCGGCTCGTTCCTACACTGGGTACTCATGCTCAAAAACAAGACGTGTGTGCGGCATCTTCTCCGTCCGGCAGCGACGACTTATCATCTTCAAGTGGTTCTTCACGGGATTCGGTGCGCGAGTTCAACATAGAGGTCTTGGACCCGCTCACGTCAGAGGATTTTGCATGGCTTCCTCTCCCGACCATGGGCCGCTTGCCGGGACCGCAATGTGCAACATTATGCGCTCATCTTCACATGTATCTATCCTTCTATGCACCACCAACTTCGTCGACGGATGACGAAGCTGCGGTGGGGGACATCCTTGCGTATGTTACCAAGGTGGCCCGCGAGTTTCGCAAGCAGTGATACGATGACAACAACGCACCGCTGCTCTATGTCTGCATCCAAGTTGGGCAAGCGTCCTGCAGCGCTTTGCTGGATAGCGGCGCGACTCGCAATTTCATGAGCCAAGCCTTTATGCAAAGGGCTGGCCTTGGCGCACAAGTTCGGAGGAAGGCGAACCCGACGACGATCAAGTTGGCGAACGGAAGGACGCAGCTACTTATTGAGTGCTACATCGAGGCCATACCGGTGTATTTCGCACCTTATGCATGCGAACCGGTGACGTTCGAAATTTTGGACACGGACTTCGACATTATTTTGGGAAAGCCTTGGCTTGCAAGTGTGGATCACACGGTCAACTTCCACCAGCGAACTCTTACCATTCGGGACGCCTTCGATGCCGAAGTGTTGTGTACTATTCCTCTTCCGCACCCTTCGATCCGTTGCCAAGTGGTGACGGCCAAGTCATTCTGGGCTACTTGCACTTATGAGCAGCCCGACGAAATAAGCCTATGCTTCCTACGGACCGTCGCGGTAGCCGATTCTTCCCCCACAGACTTGTCTTCGGACCCCCGTGTGGTGCGGTCGCTTGACGAGTTCACCAACATCTTCGAGTCACCTACCGGTGTGGTGCCGGATCGGCCGATCTCTCACGAGATCATTCTTGAGGCTGGTGTCGTGTCGCCGAAAGAATGCATTTACCGCATGAGCGAGGAGGAGCTTACGATCCTCCGCGCGCAACTCGATGACTTGTTGAACAAGGGCTGGATCCGCCCTAGTAGCTCCCCATATGGAGCGCCAGTTCTCTTCGTACGGAAGAAGAACAAGGATTTACGATTGTACATCGACTACCGCAAGCTCGACGCAAAAAATCGTCAAGAATGCGGGGCCTCTTCCTTGTATTGACAATCTCCTTATGCGATTGGGTGGCGCAAAGTAATTTTCTACGTTGCATTTGACGTCGGGATATCATCAGATTTTGATCCGGCCGAACGATCGCTATAAATCCACGTTCAAGACGCGGTATGGGCATTTTGAGTGGGTGGTCATGCCTTTCGGCCTCACCAATGCCCCGACAACCTTTCAAGCGGAAATGACCAACGAGTTTCGTGCGATGTTGGAGGACCATCTGGAACACCTTCGACGAGTGTTGGAGATGCTCCGCCGCGCCAAGTACAAAGCCAACCGTGACAATTTCGAATTTGTCCGACAAGAGCTGGAATACTTGGGCTATTTTGTAACACCAGAGGGCATCAGTCTGTTGTCAGACAAGATTCAAGCCGTCGAAGAGTGGCCGGAGCCGCGGAACGTCACGGATGTCCGTTGATTCCTTGGCCTTAAAGGGATACTCGAAGAGTGCGGCCCACATGACCAAGCTTCAATGCGAGATCGACCGTTCGACTTCGGGGAGGATGCGCGACAATCATTCTTGGCTCTCAAAGCCGCATCATTGTCCGCAGAGGTCTTGCGAATCTACGACCTGCTATTGCCAACGCCCGTCACTACGGATGCGTCCGTCTATGGCATTGGTGCCGTCCTCGAACAGCACGATGGTGTGGACTGGCACCCGGTCGAGTACTTTAGCAAGAAAGTGTCCGTCATGCACTCCATTGATGATGCACGCAAGAAGGAGCTTCTAGCCTTCGTCCATGCGCTTAAGCGGTGGCAGCACTTCCTCCTTGGTTGAAGTCAATTCCGATGGGTAACGGACAACAATCCGTTGGTCTTCTACAAGACCCAAGACACCGTTAATAGCACCATCGCCCTTCGGATGACTTTCATCGACCAATTCGACTTCTTTCCCGATCACAATCTGGAAAAGTCTAACCGTTTTGCGGATGCTTTTTCACGGCATCCGGATCATTGTACCGCAGTCTATTCGACCTTCGAGATCGACGACGACCTGCGGGACAGCTTCATCCGTGGCTACCAAGCCGACCCCGAGTTTGGCGACAAGTACGCAAATTGTTCCTCTCTTAATCCGGCGCCTTCTCACTATCGGATCTAAGAGGGGTACTTGCTTGTCCACACGCAGGGGAAGGACCTTCTTTGCGTACCGAGTGACTCTCACTTGCGTACACGGCTTCTTGGTGAGTTCCACGATGCTCCCGCCACCGGACACTTTGGAGTCAATCGCACGATTGGCCGACTTCGCGAGCGCTTTTGATGGTCCGGCCTTCTCAGCGACGTCACACGCTATTGTGAGTCATGCGAGGTTTACCGACGCTGCAAATCCCGCAACCATGGTCCGTACGACGAGTTGCGACCATTATCGGTCCCTTTGCGCCAAAGGGAAACGATTGTCATGGACATTACCGGACCGTTCCCCAAGCACAAGACCGGTGTGGATGGGATTCTCACGGTGGTCGACTGATTCACCAAGTTCGCCATGTTTTTGCCTTGCCGCTATCATGCCAAGGCACCAGAGTTGGCTGAGGTTCTTTATGCCGGTTGGATTCGAACCAAGGGTTACCCCAAGGAAATCGTCTGCGACCACGACACTCGGTTCATGTCCGATTTTGGTTGGCGCTCATCAAACGATGGGGCTCATCTCTCAAGCCAAGTTTGGCTCGCCACCCCCAAATCGATAGCCAAACGGAGAGGGCGCATCAGACCGCACAGGTTCTCCTTCGCACTCTCATCCGTCCCGACCAAAAGGATTGGGTTGAGCGGTTGTCGAATGTCGAGTTGGCATACAACTCGTCCATCCACCCGGCTATCGGGATGTCACCCTTCGAGTTCGAGCATGGCTCGCGGGGCACTTCTCCATTGGACACAATCATTCCACAAGCGACCGAGAGCGACGACCATCTTCTTTTCTTGCGTTGGATGCAAGAGCTACTTGTCAAGGCATGCGACCAGATGGCTAAGACGCAGCAACGCATGAGCCAACAGGCCAATCGCCAGCGTCTTCCTTGTACATTCTGCGCTGGCGATCTCATTTGGGTTTCCGCCGTGGAGTTCAGCCTCGAACAAGATATCTCTCGCAAGCTCCTCCCGAAATGGATGGAGCCCTGGCCGATCGTGGCACCCGCTGGGGATGCACCCGAAGGACCTTCCTTCATCATTCAGGTGCCACCCACTTGCCCGTCTACCCGGTCTTTCATTGCTCCAAGTTGGCTCTTTACACGCCAGCGGAACATGACGATTTTCCCGGGCGACGATCGCAAGACCCACCCTCTATGGACAGTTTTCAAGAGGTCGGCAACATCATCTCCCAGCGACACTACGGCAACAGGCCGACCGAATACTTGGTACACTTTGCGTACTACACCCAGAAAGTTGACCGTTGGTTGACCCGTGCGGAACTCCAAGCAACAGCTCCAGATGTTCTCGCACACTACGAACACAAGATGCAAGGCAAGCCGGTATCTTCGGCTCCACACTGCACCCACGTCCAGGTTCCACCTTCAGATCGTCAACTTTGCCCTCGACCCGGCTTGACTTCATAAGGAGGGGGGGGTGTTACATGCTGCACCTGCAACATGCTGCGCCTGAAACGAGGGCCATTTTCAGGCCCTGTGTTATTTTCAGCCTAAAAGCCTGAAAACAAGGGCCTACAAGCCCTGTGTCGTTTTCAGCCTAAAAGCCTCAAAACAAGGGCCTACAGGCCCTGTGTCGTTTCAGCCTGAAAGCCTGAAAACAAGGGCCTACAGGCCCTGTGTCGTGTCAGCCTAAAACAGGGCCCTCCAGGCCCTGAGTCTTTTCAGCCTGAAACGGAGGGCCATTTTCAGGCCCTTTTAAGAGATCAACCTGCCCTGAAACTCAGGCACCAGACCAGGGTTTTAGCACAGGCCATTTTGGGCCCGAATACAACGTACGGTCATTGTAGCTGCATTTGGCGTATCTTTCAGTCTAAATACAGCGACAATTGACCGTACGTTGTATTCGGAGGAAGAAGGTAGTGGCAGGAGAGGAGAACACATTT